AAATCGCAAAAACCTTTATAAAAGGCAAAAAAAWAYAYRTKTTTTTTTGTATATGATATTGTTGGATTTTATAAATAAAATATCTATTTTCTATACATTGATTTACATAAAAAAATTATATTATAATACATAAGAATTACATAAATGTGCACCAAATACTTAATTGTAACTTGTTATAATTAATTTACATAAAAATTATTTATTTAATTGTTATAATTAATTTACTAAAGTTATTAAAACACATTTAATTTTTCTTTTGTTTTCAATAAATAATTTAAGAAGACAAATGTCAAAAATGTAAAATGACATATGGCAGCCTCTCATGGCTTGAACATTGAGAAACCTTATTATATTATATAAGATATGCGGTAATGGATATTTATTATATAAAAGAAAAAGTGAATCGTCAAAAAAAGAGTCAACTGTGTTAATAAGAAGCATGTTCAATGCATCTATAAAATCTACCAAAACTCAGTGCTTTGACCATATTTCTCCATAGTCCATATTATTATGGTAGGGACAATTTAAATTCACTTTCCATAATCTATAAGAAAATGTTTAGATTTCCCACAATACCAAATGGTGATAGATTTGGCTTCACTTTCATTCGATTTACATGTGCATTTGCTACAGTATTACACATTATAGATTTCGTTCATCGGTTTTATCTCATCCAACAATAGGTCTCTTATTCGAGAAAGATGTTGGAGTTCGGATTTAAGAACATCCAACGAATATCACTGCATCATGTATATACATACACAGTACGGATTATGAATGAAATAATTATATGTGAATGGATCTGAATCTTTACAATATATATATGTAAAGGGGGCAATGTAGTGGTAGGAATTAGTTACTTTTTAACTTCCCACTAATCAGATATTTTTTTAGTGACTAATACATATACCGTTTTTATTAGTTAATAACACCAACTTATTAATTTAGTGTCATGCTAATCATTAAAATGACCCAAAATGCATGCATGTGACCTCCTAATTCCACTCATTAAGTATATGGTACATGTGTATGTATAATATTATTATTTTTGTTTGACGGCCATGTTATTTTTGTTACCAATCGAACGACGGCCACGTTAATGTATTTTTTTTTTTCTTTTGACGGCTATGTTTATGTATAATTTTTCAATAACGGGAGCTCAGTAAACATTTTTAATAACATCTTACGTAGAAAATTTTAAAAAAAAAATCTTACGTAGAGGTAGAATCGAATTCATCATAACTTTTTTTTTTAATAGAAATATATAACAACACTACTTGTGTTATCAGATTTTAATATGTACAATCTTTAAGACCATAACTTAAGCTCTTTAATTTTTTGTGTTTGAAAACAAAATATAACACATAAATTTTCTGCGGGGTTTGGTGATTACGAGTCTAGCTAATCTACGTCTACGGCATAACATGCTCTAATTATATAAAGCATAATCAGGTACGCAATAATTAAATGTTTAACAGAAATTATATTGGGAGGTTATAACCAAAAACGAATCATCTGATGCGGAAGCCACGTCATGATTGATGGTGATTGCTATGATAATTGACGAAACTAACCTTAGAACCATCTTGAATGAAAAAAACATAAATTGGTACAAAGAACATGTCTTGTTTGAGAAAGTGAAAATGTGATCTTTGGTTATCTGTTTCTTTGTTGCTCTCCCTTGTATCCTAACCCGACAATACTTGTTGGAAGTTGAATTTACAACACTACCTATACATGTTTATATGAGTTTTCATGAGCTATTTTGTAAACATTAATAAAAAAAAAATATTATAATGACACTTTCGTAACAATTATCCACAAATATCATTACAACAATAAAATTTATAAGTTCATTATTTTTTAAAAAGTTTGTATTAAATAGACTGTACTATACAATTTGACACACAAAAAAACTTTTTTTTTCCTTGCAAAGTACTATATGCATCTTCATTGATTGAGATACTATAAAATTAGAGTTAATTTGCTTAATAATCCAAAAAAATCATATATAAATAAGTAACCAAAATGGCCCCATGTTGCTAAATAATAGCCATTAGATTTAGGG